AACAGTAGGGTCATACACAGCAGCTTCAGGGGGACACCTACCAAGACTTCCTGTGTTTATGTGTGTAGGTGAAATGTCACAGTCAGTGTAAGTGGGTGTGTCTGTATGGGCATGCGTGTCTGGGTGCCCTAGTTAGGCAAATACTATGTCTGACATTTGCATGGTTTACCCTTGTGTCTCTGCTAATGTATGAAGGCTTATGTCCGTCCTACATGTGTGAACTTCTTTGTGGGTATCCACCTGAAATCTGCTGAACCTCTTGCACATGTGCAAAGGCTGGTTGCTCTCTGAGGAAAGGGTAGCTGGGGTACCTGGGTGAGCCAGTGTCTGTGTCACCTGGCAAGGATGTCACTGGGTTCCCACAATGCTGGTATGTGTGTATATAATGTCTGTGTGTGTTTGTGTGCACACCTTCACATGTATGTGGACTTCCTATGTGTCTGAGGGTGTCTCCAGGATGTATATAGGAGGGTGTGCATCTCAGCCTGGAGTCTCCTGTTGTGTTTGGTAGAGTGTGGCATGAAGGGTCTGTTTACATGGGTCTGTCTACTGTTTCCCACGTGGATTCCTAGTGACTGTGCCTGGAGGCTGGCCTCTGGCAGCATATAGCATAAATGAGTCATCGAATGTATACATCAGCCAGGCATGAATAGCTGCCGGTCTCTGAGCTTGAGCTCTGAATAAGTGTACATGTGTTGATGTGTGTCCAGCCCCTCGCAAAGCACACTGAGTTTTGTGGTCATCCCCACCCCAGCAGCTGCTGCTCACACTTTCCACCTCATTTTCTCTCAGCTGGAGCTGCTCCCCCAGCCAGAAGCTGTGGCTCAGGGCAGGGACCAGGGGACTCTTCTGACGTGATGACAGACTGGGTGCCTCCTATATCTCCTGGGAGTTTTGCAGAACTGCCCGAGGCCTACCACTCAGAAGACTCTGGGATGATGTCAGAGGGTGGGAGGAGAGAGGAAAGGACCATGGCTGGGTCAGTGCATTTACTGAGCAATGGACATGCATGCAACCTCGAATCAAGAGGTCCATGACACACCAAACCCCCATTTTACAGAAGTGATCCCCCTTGAGACACACCCCCACCTGCAGGCTTGGATATCAGTCTTTGGGGGTTTTGTTTTTGAGACACAGTCTTAGCCTAAGCTGGCTTTGAACTGAGAATGGCCTTTAACTTCTCACCCTTCTGCCTCTGCCTCCCCTATGCCAGGATTACAGGCATGTGCCAGCATGTCTGGTTTATGCCGGTCTAGGGATGGAACCCAGGTCTTTGTGCATGCTAGGCAAACACTCCCCCGATTGAGCTTACTCACCATTTGCTCCTTACAAATCTTAGCCTGGCACCTGGCTCACAGGATTCCTCTCACCAACCTCCACCCATGGCCAGACATGTCAATTGTAACTAAAAGCTCAAATGTGCTGGCCACATGGCCGAAGGAACAGGACCGAGACAGAACAGCAGGGTTGGAATGCTGGCTATAAGACAGAAGCCTAGAGCTTCTACTTGCTCATCTGTATAATGGCAATCGCCACCCAGTGAGGGGTTTTCTCTGGGCCCTTCTCTCTATCACTCGCAGCTGGAACCCAAGTATGGTGCCTTGGCCCCCCACTACCTACCTATGCAGTGGGAAATGTGATCATGCCTTCCTGTCCCCTCAGGAGCAGCACCCAATGTATTAACACTCAAGGGCTAAGGAAACCCACCCTCCTGGCTCCTCCCAGTTCCTCCAAGGATGAACACACAGACATCCTGTCTGCTCATTGGCTCAGAATCCTAACAATTCTGCACGAGACAAGAGAACTTCACTCATGAGATGTTTTCCTGGCTGTTCACATCTCCCTGATTGCTGAAAACAATCGTTGGAGACAGTCCAGGCACACCCCACCGTCTCCACTAGACAGATAAAAACACACAGGCAGCTCAGAGCCCAGCCACTTGCCTATGACCACAGAGTAAATGGTAGAATCAGGTCTCAGAGGCAGCTCTTTGAGCTCCAGTACTGAGATACCACATGGCACATGGGTAACAGTTAGTGGTCACAGGGACCTTAGGCCACTGGGGCTTTGAAAGTCAAACACAGTTAACCTGGCTAAAGCCTTATTTCTGGGTCTTGAAAACCCCAGCGGATAACCTTTAGGCACCTTGACCAGAAGGGACCCCAGGTTCCTTCTGCAGCTCTACTGTAGCTTATCTCCCCAGTGATCACACCAACACTTGGGATCATTTACACAATGCTCCCTCACAAACCCAATGCCTATATCCAGGCCTTTCTCTGAGTAGTTCCAGTGATACCAAGCTCACCACCTTCCCCAAAGAAGCACTTTCTGTCTTATCACTGGCAGAGGCTGTACCTCCCTCACTTGGGCCCCAGAGCAAGGCTTTGAGAGATGGGGATGTGCAGTCACCCAAGGGTCCTTCCTGGCTCACAGGGGTGGGACCCCAACACCTAGCACACACACACACAAACTGGAAGGTGAACCTGAACTGTGCCACCTGGAGTCCAGGGCTTTCCCTTCAACTCACATGGTCAGTCCACAGTGGATACACGGGGATTTGGAGTCATTTTCCTTCTTACCCAGTTTCTGCACCTCAGATGGAAAGTAACCCAGAGAGGAAGGAAACACACAGGAGATTGATGCTCTCTCACTCCTTGCCCTGGCTGCTCGGAGTAGTGTGGGTGCCACCCGAATGCACACAGCAAGAGCCAGCATGGCTCCTCTCCTTACCCAACACTTTCCCAACTTTCTTTAGCCTAGAATGTTCTACTGCAGCCCCTTTCTCTGCTGGCTCCATCATCTCTCAGCGCCTAGACTCCCTGAGTCCCCAGCCCCACCTCCATGGCACAATTAGCCTTCTCCCTCTTGTCACCAGGCACATTGTGTTGTGTTTGCAACTATTGTTTAACTCTGGTCTCTCCAGAGCCTCTCCCTGGTTCACAGTTACACTCCAAATCTGCACTATGCTGTTAAGCTCTAAGCAAACAGTAAGTGATTGAATGGATGGATGCATGGACAGACAGATGGACAGATTCAAGGTCAGGAGGAAAAGTCAGGAGGAAGAGCCCAGCCTGCTCCCACAGAATCCACAAAAGAATGTAACAGATGCACAAGGAAACATGTTTCCTACCCTGAGAGTAGCAAGTGATATGAGTATAGAAATCTACAGTGCCAAGTGTTCTAGCTATGTGCACATTTAATCTTTAAGGACCATCTGTGTAATTGTTTAATTCTTAAGATGAGAAAACTCAGGTCTAAACATGGGAAGTAAAGTGCCCAAGATCACAGCCAAGAAACTAAAGATCCAGTAGTGGCCCAGAGCTTGTGCACAAAGACTCAACTACTGAATGGATGGTAGAAACTGAGGCTCAACCTGACCCCAAACTGGAATGTCCCTGGCTGGGTCCTGGTCTCTAGGAGAACCTGGGCTCAACCTCTAGCCCTCTGGGACTACTTTCCCATCTGCATACTCATGGGTGGTTTCAGATGGAGTTCAGGGCTCTGTCTGACCATTTCCTGGGAGCTCAAGAAGGGGTCTAGGATGAAGGCAGGAAGAAACCAAACCAAGAACTATGAGTTGTCCTCATTTGCTGGAGTGAGGCACTGAGGTACAGGTCTGAAGCAGCTCAAGCTGGGAATGAAGAAGCTGCAAGGGGCGTCCAGGAGGCTGCCTCCATTCTCCCACCTTCACTTATCAGACTTCAGAGGACTCTGCAGACTGACTGAAGCCCCGACTGTCAACACTGAGTGAAGTCCTTGTGAAGACTCACACTCCCGTTTAACAGGAAAAGAATGGAACCCTGGCCTGGGGAAGGGTCAGGCTAGGAACAGCAGGTGACCATTTCTCAAACAGACCTGTGTTCTCTAGTGTACGGTTTACTGAGAACATGCAGACAGAGGATCCAAAGGAAAGCAAGGACAACACCCCCACAGGCTACAGAAGAAAACACCCTCCTAGATGATAGAACCGAGGTGGTTAAGTGCTGCAGGGCAGACATGTCATTACAATGCTGTGAACTCCAAGGCTGCTGGCCAGGCCACTCCGGGTGTTGTGCCAGGCCATCAAATGACAAGTGCTGACGACACTGCAGCCTCTTCCATCAGTGGCAGTACAGCCCATGGAGATTCCAGCTTCCCACACCAAGGTCGAGAAGCCAGGGAAGGGCTGTCCCCATAGCTGCCACTGTGTCATGGAACAGGCAGCCAGAGCATGGGCTGCACCTAGGTGCCAAGGCACAGCCAGTTAGTTGTTCTTCCCAGGCAGCACTGCTGGCCCTTGTACAAAGGGAATAACCCTATCAAAGAGGGCAGCTCCCCTCCTCCCACAGGGAGCACCGGCCATGTCTGCCCAAGCCTCTCTCAGAGGGGACAGAAGACAATATCCTGGGATTGAGGAAGTGGCCTCTGAACCAGTTCTCCCACGACATCATCCTCTCAGGCTGCGGGACCGTTAGACTGGGCGGAAGTGGACTCCAGCCAAGGGGATGTTCCCAGATGTCATGCTTTCAAACTGGTCCCGCCCCAAAAGGCAGGCGAGGACAGGCTTGCCGGGGAAGCCCTGGGTGAGGACTTAGGATGCTGTTATGCTCCCCTTGCCAGCCGTTAGCCACGGGTTCCCTGGCAGCCAGACACACCAGTGTTGGCCCCAGAAAGTAGAGCAGAGGAAGGCCTGCTGACCTGGGGGCGGGGTCCTGGGCAGCTTAAAGCAGAGGTCAGCATGGCTGACCACCCCCCCACACGCACCAAACACCCTCCAAAGCAGTTTTACGGGAGGAGGGTGCACATCGGGGTCCTTTAGTCGGTGTCTTATCCAAGGTCCCCCTCAAGAGAAGAGTAGAAAAGAAGGTGGGGCACTCTCTCCCTGCTTGTTCAGTGTTAAAGTGGCCGGCTGTGACCTCAGGGCCTCGGGGCCTCGGGGCCTCAGGCCCTGGGTCTCTTCAGCCAGGATTGCAGGTCCTCCTCCCCAAACCCTGCCACTCCCCTTCCCCCTTGGTCCCCACCTTGAGATAGTCGTTCTCCGAGCGCAGTTCTTCCAGCTCCCGCACCAAGCCGCCTGGCCCGCAGTCCAGCATCTCCTCGGTGAGGTCGGAGAAGGCGAGCGAGGCGCTAAGTGGCAGGCGACTGCTGCCCACCGACGATGCGGCCACCGACGGCTCATCTGGGGAGGCGGGCGGCCGCGGAGGCTGCTGCCCCGACGGCGCGGGCTGGGGCGGCTGCCCGGTGCGGGTCCCCGCCGGGCCACCCGCCGCAGACTCGGCGTCGCTGCTCAGCGCCAGCTCCAGGCCCAGCAGGCGCGCCTCCTCCGACGCGCAGTCCGACACCTCGGAACTGCTGTCGGTGAGGCTGGGCGGCGGCGGCGGCGGGCGCGGCCCGGTACCCGGACGAGGGCGGCCCTTGGCTCGGACCCCGGTGCGCACCCCGGCTACCCGCGGCCCCGCGCCCCGGGCGCCGGGCGTCACCGCGCGCCCCTTCTTGTCCGGCCTCGCTGAGGACGCCGCGCCACAAGCTGCAGCGGCGCCCGGGCCTGTGCCGCGGCGGCCCTTGGCCAGAGACCAGCCAGCCACCTCCTTGGGGCGGGCTGGCGACGGCGCGCGGTGGCTCTTCTTCCTTTCCGTGGGGGGCGCGGGTGCAGGCGGGGGGCCGTAGCCCCGCGCTGATGACTCTCCCGCTGGCGCCTCCATCGCGGCCTCCCCGACTCTCAGCGAGCGGCGCGCATGGCCCGGGAGCGGCCGGCCTGGGGGTCCCTGCGGCGGGTCCCGGATGCGCTCCCGCCGCTCCGGCCGCGACTGCGCTCCGGCCTCCGGCGACCGGGGACTGCGTTCGGGCCCTGGCCCGCGCCGCGCGGCCTCTCCGCCACTGGCGGCTCGCAGCGCGCGGCCCGATCTCCGCCAGGCACCGCGACTCCGGCTCCGGCTCCGCCCGGTGCCCGCCCCCTCCGCCTCGCCGCGCCCTCGGAGCGAGCCCGGACCCCTGCTCACGCCTGCTCGGCGATCGCCGCCTCGGACTCCCAGTCCGGCTGAGCCCAAGGCCCCAGCTCCGCCCGGCGCGGCCCGCCCCCCACGCAGCCCCGCCAGTTCCCCGCCCCGCCGCCTCGGCTCGGGGGCGCGCGGCTCGGCGAACAAAAGGCGGACGCGGCGGGAGCAGCGGGGAGGGACGCGGGCGGGGAGCGAGGGAGGAATCCGCGAGGCAACAGCGACCCCCTCGAGGGTCAGGCAGGCCCGGGCAGCCGCGGCCTCGGCTCGCTCCGGCAGCTCCCGGCCACTGGCCGCCCCTCTGCGGGCTGGGGGGTCGCACCCGGCCGTGGAGCCTGGAAGCCTGGCGTCGCCTTGGGGGCCTCGTGGACGGCAGGAGAGGATATTCCCCGGCTGAGGCCCCGCGGACCTCAAAGGGCCGGAGGCAGCATCCATGCACACCCAACACCGCGCCGCGCGCCCCTTGCGGGTGCTGAGCCTGCGCGAACTCCGCCCCCTTTAGCTGGGCATGACAAACGACCCCAGCCCATAGAACGGTAAACTGAAGCGTGACCGGGCACGCGGTAGGCTCTTGGTCCGCAGAGGAACCAGGATGGAGCCTCATGCCTCCAGAGTGACTGGACTCCTGCCTCGGCTGCCTGTCCGCTGTCATAGTGACCCCGCATGCATAATGGACGCTGCACACCCCGGCCGCTTGCGATTCCAAGCATAGTCCTGTCTCCCCCACCCCAGTTTCAAGGTCTTTGCGATTAAACTGCAGGCTGTGCCTCATGGATGCCAGACCATTGGACGCTTCGGGGAGGGGGGCTCTGGGCCGGATGGAGGATGACATGGCCTGAAGACTGTGGCCCTGAATCCTACTTGATCACCCCTCAAACCAAGCCCCCAGTCCTGGTGGGCGTGGGGTTTTTGTTTGTTTTTTGTTTGTTTTTCCTTCTGGGCTACTCCTGTTAGCCAAGTAGTTTCTCTAGCTCCCTTGTAGACCTTCCTCATCTCTTCTATAGCCCTCACCGTGCCTGAACCACAGTAAGTTCTTTGGCTGGCCCATGGAAGGCACTCATCCTCAGGGTGGCTGCCCAACCACACACACACACACACACACACACACACACACACACACACACACACACACACACACACACACACTGTCCTCTGGTCCCGTCCTTCTCTTTCTCCTCCTTCTTTCCCCCTTCTTTTCTTCCTTCTCCTCTTCCCTCTTCCATTTCTCCTACTCCTCCCCTTACTCTTTCGGGCTTTCTCCTACCCTGATTCTACAACACAGCAAGCTGGTACTAGGTCTACTCATTTTTCCCCTAGTCACCCTCCACACTAAAGTACAAGCAGGTCTGCCACAGCACTGGGCAAAGATGCTGGCCATTGATTTGGGAACGTTGGGCTAGAGACCCAGGGTGAGTCATTTTACAGGCTGGCCCGAGCCCAGCCCTGGTCTGGTCTAATGAGCCCATGACAGGTATATAGTCCCTGCTCTCGCAGGCTTGTCAAGGTGATACAAGTTCTTGCACATTTTTGCCCTCTCCCTGCTTCTGCTTCTCCTCCTGTGGAGAATGTGGGCTTTGAGGTGTGAGAGGATGAGCATGTGACCATCAGTTGCTCCAAGCCCACAGCTGTGTCCTTTGGGTAGACACTAATGCAGACCACTGTCTATATTTCATCAGAGAATCTCAGAATTCTCTCCCCTTACTGCCTCCCTCTCAAGATGGGGGTCTCACCATATTGCCCAGGCTGGCCTGGAAGTCATGGGCTTTGGTAATCTGCAGCTTCCCAAAGAGTTGACAGCACAAAGTCTGTCAACCCTTGTCTCAGAAGGATTAAGGAACTTCTCTCTGGTTGAATTTTCCAAAAGGAAGCAATAGATATATATTCCAATTGCTCTTTTATTATTATTAGTGTGTGTGTGTGTGTGTGTGTGTGTGTGTGTGTGTGTGTGTGTGTGTGTGTGTGTGTCACACATGCGTGCACACATGCAGGTGCACACAGGCCACAGTCACATGTGAAGGTCAGAGGACAACTTTCAGGACTCGGTGCTTTTCTCACAGTGACACTCACAGTGACACTTCCCGCAGCCACAGAGTCTGCTTCCTGCCCTCAGTCTGAGCAGAAGACCTCTGTGACATGGCCTCTCTCTTTCCTGTGCTCTCTCTATTGCTCTTCATTCATCCTTGGAATCCAAGTGCCATGTGGAAGGGAATTTTAGGTCTCCCGGAGTGGCCATGTGAAGGCAATCCAGCCAACAACTCTGGTCCCCACTGGGCACCAGACCTGCGAGTTGACGAGCGTACAGATGCTCCACTGGGAGTCTTGAGCCACCCATGAGGAGTGGAGCAGAAGTGAATTCTCTCCCCAAAGCTCTGAAGGCACCAGGGTGCCCCACTCCTTTTTTTTTTTTTTTTTTTTTTTTTTTTTTTAAAAAGCAGTGGGAAACCGGAACCGGAATGCACAGCCAAGATCATACACCTTAGAAATAGCCTGGCTGGAGCTGTTTGACCATAGGCAGCCCTATTCCAGGCCTACTACTAATTGGCCAGCTTAAGTACCCAGTGGGTGCTGTAAAAGTTGCTGACCAAGGAGGAAGGATTCAATGATGGCTTTAGTGGCAGGTTGTAAGAAACGAAGGGGATGATGACCCCAAAGTTCTTCATTCAAGCTGCTAAATTGACCAACGGGATGGAAACTGAATGGCAGCTAAGTCCCGGAAGGCTTCCAAGAGGAGGCATCTTTTCATAACTAAAGCGAAAGTTGTTTTCATTCTACAAATCATGAAAACAATATGCCATCTGCTGAGGGGTGATAGGGAAACCCACTTGGATAAGGTTATCAGGGAACCCTCTCTGAGGAGGTGTCCTTTATGCCAAGTTAGACAAAGGGCGTAGGAAGAGAATCTGGGGCAGACTGAAGAACAAGGCAAAGTCCCTGGAGGAAGAGAAAGTGTGACAGATGCTTAGGCAGGGGAGGTTAGTGTGTCTGGAGTCCCCTGGGAGATAAAGAAGGAAAAGACAGAATGGAAAGCAGGAACCAGACAGGACATCAGCAAGGGATTATCTCTGATGCAGGGACAAACATTGGAAACTGCAAGCAGGGAGTCACACCATCTAATTTATGTCCGGAAGTAGATCCTCATGCTGACAAAAACAGATGCTGGCCACGCTTAGGTGTTGACAGACAGGACTCTGGGAGCTAAGGGAACTCAGATGTATCTAGAAGCCATAGAGAACGAATGTGTTCTGATTTGAAGAACCATCACTCTTGGCTGAAAGTGGACTCAGAGAAGTGATGTCAACTTCATCTCCCCAATCACCCTGTGGAGAACAAATGACCGCACCGTTTGCTTTAGCAGGAAGGACAGGCCCGGAGGTCTCAAAGGGTAAGAGATCCTCAGTTCATAGGGCACAGTGGGTTTGAAGCATCTGTGGAAATGTCCAATTAGAGTCCCAGAAAAGAAGTAGCATAGACATGTGAAGCCAGGCCAGCAACAAGGTCTGGAGTAGTCAAGAAAATATTCACCTTGAGGGCTGGAGATGTTGCTCAGTTGGTAGCATTTGGCTTAGTATACACAAGACTCTGGGATTCATCCCCAGCATCACATAAAACCAGACATAGTGGTGCATGCCTTTGTAATCCCAGAACTCAGAAGGTGAAGGCAAGAGGACCAGAAGTTCAAGGTCATCCTGAGCTACATAGTGTGTTTGAGACCAGCCTGGGCTACATTGACACCCTATCTCAATAAAAGAAAAGATTCACTTTGAAACTGGATAAAGTTACTCAGGGAGAGGGTCTGGGGAGTGTAACACAATAAATTAAAAGATCCAGAGACTGATACTGGGGTTCAAGCTTCAGGCCGAAGTTTGAAGGATTAAAGGTGAGTACCACCACCTCCTAGCTTCTGGCTGCCAGGATTAAAGGTGTGTATCGCCACTGCCTGATCTCTATAGCTTGAGGCTCACTTTGCTTCTCTGAATCTTCAGGCAAGCTTTAGTAAATCATAAATAATATATCATCATAAGGGAGAGGAAAACTGGTCCAGAACCAGAAAGTTAAGTATTTCTGGTTCAAGAAAATAGCCAAAAGGATAGAAAGCGGTGACGAAAGAGGAGGGAGTGGTCCCTGCCAAAGCCAAGGGGTAGAGAAGGTTGAGAGGAGGCTGCTGGGGTGGGGCCTCACAGTGCGACCGGTGAGGACAAAGTCATAGGACTCGGCCTGAGTGGAGAGAGGTGGAGGCAGAGTGTGGGGAGAAGTGGGGAGGTCATGGCGGCCAGGGAATGAGCAAGGAAGAGGAGCAAGAGGCGGGAGAGGAGAGGGAGCCAGCTTGACTTTGGAAAACAGCAGGATGGGCCCACGTTCCCTTAGGAGGGCAGAGGGAGAGATAAGGGAGTTGGGCTAACCAGCAGGAGACATCAGCTGAGGGTGAGGGAGAGGGGGAGCCTTGAGGAGGGTAAAGTCTGGATGCAAAAGTGACCTCAGAAACTGGAAAATGACTTCCCAGTATGCCTGTGGGGGTGTGTCAGACTGGCTCCCCACCCACGTGAGAGCTAGAGAATAGCCAGGTAACCCGGTGGACACAGGTGTGTTCCCTTCTGGTCAGACAGGGTTTCTGTGTACTGCTTTGGAGCCTGTCCTGGAACTCGCTCTGTAGACCAGACACAGCTGGTCTCAACCCCGACCCCCCCCTTAAAAAAAAATTAAAGACTAGCCAGGTGGTGGCTGCACATGCCTTTAGTCCCAGCACTGGGGAGGTGGAGATAGGCAGATCTCTGTGACTTTGAGGCCAGCCAGGTCTACAGAGTGAGTTCCAGGACAGGCTCCAAAGCTGTACAGAGAAACACCATCTCAAAAAAGTC